CCAGCACGACCACACCCCAGCACGACCACACCCCAACACGACCATACTCCAGCACGACCACGCCCCAGCACGACCGCACCCAGTCGCACCCCCGTGGAATGTTTCGTGGGGTGTCTGGTTGAGTGGTTGCCTGTTCGCGGGGTGTCTCGTGGAATGTTTCACGGGGTGTCTCGTGGAATGTTTCGTGAGGTGTCTCGTGGGTTGTTTCGCGAGGTGCCTCCTGGGATGTTTCGCGGGGTGTCTCGTGGGATGTTTCGTGAGGTGTCGCCCAGTTGGATATCGTGAAAACGTGACCATGCTGCACATGTCTATATCCCTTTCTGGGTTCGTGGGCCCATCATGTTGCTGGAGCCATTTGGGTCAGGAGTTGGTTTGCATACGGACCACAGCAGGATATCTTCTACAGGCTCTGAGTTGCTTTGCGCATCATGGAGGAAATGCCGCCACAGGGGGCCCCAGTCCTCGCTGTGGCCCCGACTGGGGACAGCGGGGGGCTTTCTCCTGTCAGCAGTGATGCTCTTGCGACGCTGCCTGGCGCTGGGGAGGCGCCTGGTGGTGCCGGAGCGGGTGCTGTGACAGTGGCTTCGAGGTCTCCTGTTGGGACAGAGTGGGACGTCATGCCAGATGATACTAACACCGCCTTCGAAACCTTCAGGGCCAACGTGTCTCGGGCCATTTCGGAAGTGTGCGTTCGTCATGGTGGCCCCCAGCAACACTTAAATGCCATCCACAACACTATCGACAAGCGCAGGGCATTCTCAGACTGGCTTTACGCGGCCTTCCCGCTGTCAGACACAATTCAGTACACACTTGACGCACAGGAATTGCAAGCAGTACCTGAAGCGGAGTTATCTTCTCGCCCAGCTGTCAAAATCCACGCTGCGTGTTTCAGCTTCCACCCGGGCGCCTCCATCAAGCAAGCCCCAGGAAAAGACCATACTGTGAGGATGGTTGATCAGATCCTGACGGAAGGCTTCATCACGTCTGGCGACCCACTGCTCGTGCTCATGCCTGATCCACAGAACCTTCAGGCCTGCGCGCCCCCCTGGAGAACCCCAGGGAGCACCGCCCCCGTGTGGGCCCAGTCTATCGGTTACCACAAGGCGCAGTCTCGGATGCTCAGCTTGCTGTCCATTCTGAGCGTGTGCTACGAGGATAAGGTCCGGCCTGAGCTGATCAAGGAGGTGCTTGGGGGGGTGTAAAGTTATCGCGTCTGCCAGCTTGGGCCCTCTGGCAGTGAATACTGGCATTGCGCAACCAATGCGCAGTGTAGTTAAGCACTGTTTTGGGAACTCGGTGATGTCTGCGCACAAGTGGTAAGAGTAACATGATGGAGGACACCAGAAGGAGAGGAGGGTGGCACAGGATGGAGGACTTTAGAATTAAGGAGAGCAGGTTGAGAGGGCGAAGGAGGAGACACCCGCGCACCACGACCCCCACCACCCACCCTTCACCCACCAAACACCCACCCTCCACCCACCCCTCACGACGGCGCGTTGGGGTCACAGATACGACCCCAATACTCCGAATTGACCCCCCCCCGCCGCCTTGCCACCCCATCTTGTGGATATCCTTTCTGACTGCCGCAGCAGGTGCACCCCGCGCCATGGTGTTCGGGAACAAGAAGGATGAGCTATTTGGCAATTTCAAGCGTAGCGCGAGGGGCAGCATTCGGAAGGCGCCCAATGCCTTGACGTGGGCCTTCTCCTTGGACAAGTTGCATCGCGAGCATGGCATGAGTGGCCCACAAGGCATCATAAAGAGTTGGAATGAGGAGTCCAGCAAGGCCTCTCAGCTGATGGGTGGTAAAGCGCAGAGCGTCAAGAACGTGTTGGCAATGCCGAAGGATGCCAAAGTGGAGCTTTTCAATTCTGTTCAGGCGCTCGGATGGGAGACCTCCCCATGGACAGATGATGCGCTGGGGTCAAAGAAAATATTGCCTGGATTTGTGCCACGCGGGGCTTCCAAGCAGTGGAACGACCGTTTCCGGACGACTGCAGCTTCGTGCGTGTGCATGATAAAGCGTATTACGGCAGAGTACGAGGCGACTCCGAGCAACAGGAGGAGGCACATTTCAAGGAACGAAGCTGAGGATGTGGCGATGCGGGCAGCATTCGTAGATCACGTCGCCAAAGAGACCCAGAACATACTTCCAATTGCAGACGATGTGCTCTACAACGGGTTCATCAAGAAGTTCGCGGAGGCGGACCCGAAGTTGATTTCTGAAATCACAATGACCTGCGCGGAGAAGAGCGACGAGTTCACGCCTGGCGACGTCGGCACTTTGAACGATCTGATGCAGCAGCTTCGCGGCGCAGCACCAGTTCAGCCAGGCATCAAGATGAGCATCAGCCAGCAGAAAGTTGAGGAGGCACAGTTCGACTTCATCATGAACCAGCTGTCGTATGACTTCCAAGCCTACAAGGTGCTGGATTCCAAGCTCGAGAGTTTCCACTCGGCGCGGGGGCATATCAAGCGGGCCTGGAGGATCCAGGCACACAAAGAGAATATCGAATCAGCTTCTGTGTTCTTGGATACGTACACTGGGATGGGTTGCTGGGAGGATAAAGACGCTGCCAAACGCGACTACGATAAGTTCCAGGCCGACATCATTCCGCAGCTGCAGATCCTACCCACAAACGTGGTCTGCGTCGAACAACGCACTCCCCCTCCTCCTCCACCTTCTCCCCCTCCGCCTCATGATTCTTATCATCCTCCTCCTCCTCCTCCTCCTCCTCCTCCTTCTCATCCTCCAACTCCTCATGGCTCTTATCATCTTGCTCCTGCCCCTGCTCACCCCTGCTTCTGCTGCTCCTACTACTCCTACTCATCATCATGCCTTCCTGCGTTCTCCCTCGTGCTCATCCTCATCCTCCTCGTCTTTCTGCTCTCTGCCATCTTTCCTTGAAAACCTGGGGGTTCCTTTCCTCCTCCTCCATCTCCAATGACACCTCTTCCTACTATCTTCTCTTGTCCAGATTTCCTGTCCCCATCTTCCTTCTTTCGCTGCCCCTTCATCTCCCACTCCTGGCCCCCCTGGTCCGGCCTGGTTGTCGCAGACATCCCTGGCCTGCTGATGCCTGGCAGCGGGGGGGGGGGGGGCAGGGCGAGAATCCAAAACATTGCAGTCCTCGTCCTCCTCCTCCTCCTCCTCCCCTCCCCCCCCCCCCCCCCCCCCTCACCCCTCCGGGGGCGAAGGGGGCAGGGGGATGGGGATGGGGGGAAGGATGGGGGCGGGGAGAAGGATGAGGAAGCGAGAGGGGAGGAGGAGGAGGAGGAGGAGGAGGAGGAGGAGGAGGATGAGGAGGAGGAGGAGGAGGAGGAGGAGAGGAGGCGGAGGAGGAGGAGGAGGAGGATTTTGTTATGTCCCCGAACAGGCCACCATCGTCTTCCTGAATTGGCGCTGTCCATCTTCCATTTCTACGACGGAATACAATGCCCAGGCCAACTTCCTTGCCAGTATATTGCAGTTTGGGGACAGGAACATTGGCATACTCATGCAACCGGTTTGGGCTTACAAGAAGGGCAGCTTGTGGATGGTGGATGCCCAGGCTCTCAAAACGCTTGCCAACAAGGGCATCAACGTCGATAAGATATTCAATTTGCTGATGAAGAACAAGAAAGACGAGCGGGACAACAGGCCCATGTGCTACCCAGGCAGACTGCTAGTGGCCGACCACGTGAAGACGAACGAGTGCTTCTGGAAATAAATACGTTCTGGTCGGAGAACGTGACTGAGAGGGCAGAGCAGCTGCAACCGAGGGACATGAAGCGAGTTGAGGATCTGGACCCAGAGGCCCTTCCCCACTCCATTGACAAGGACGAGACCGTGCACGGGGCGAAAAAGTTCGAGCAGCTGGGCGAAGACGCCATGGTCAAGCTGCTGACAGCAATGCTGGACAAAACAGAGTTCAAGGAGCGGTCTGCCATCGTGATTTGCGACCTCAGCCCTGGAGTTGGCGACATGTTCCAAGGGTTCATGCAAATCAGGACCAACGGCGCCCAGAACCTCTACTACTACGGGGTATGCTCCACGGCTGTGCACAAGGACTGGTGCATCAAGACCTGGACTCAGGAAATCGCAGACAAGCTGAAAGCCAACATGCTCAAGATCCCAGGAGTGACCCCCAAGTCGGATGACCCGCCGGAGTCTGTCATGGAGGCAGCGCCGCCACGTCCGACTTTGAACTTGCTTACTTGGCAAGGCGACGTGGACAGTCAACTTGGGCGCCCGCGTGGAGTGTGCATTCCAAAGTCCTTGATGGATCAGTGGTACCACCATGCAACCTTCGGGGATAAGTTCAAGGCCATCGCTGGCGAGATAATTTCGACATGTGGCGTTGAGGAGCTCGTTGGCCTGTAAATCTCATAAGCGAGAGGGGGAGGAGGAAGAGACGGAGGATGAGGAGGAGGAGCTCCCCTCCGAGGAGGAGAAGGAGCGCGAGGTGGAGGAGGAGGTGGAGGAAATTGATACGGAGGAGGAGGGGGAGGAGAACGAGGGGGATCTCCCCTCCGACTCAGGAGGACTGCATTGGAAATCAGCGGCAGGTTTCATAGGTGCAGTTAGTATGTAGAGGTAGCATAGCGTCTTCTTGCTGCGTACTACTTGTGGGTTCCACATGTCCCCCTCCGAAGCGCGTGAATCATGGAGCACTCTGGAAACATCTGGGGTTATCTCGGAGGCTGTTGGGGCCGACCAGCAGCGTTCAAATCATTCTGTTTGTTTGCGATGAGAGCCCCCTTTAGATATCCCAAGAAGTCCCCAGGACAGCTCTAAAACTGCCCCTGGGACCAGAGGCCCAATACATGGTGCAAGTGGGGCCCTGTCCACAGATGGGCGCCCAGAGGGCCCCGAGACCCAATAGGCGCCGAAGAGGACCCCCGGACACCACTGCGAGGCCCCAGGAGGCTCCCAGGACACCCCGACTCGCCAATAGGCATCTCAGGGGCCTGACTGAGCTTGTCAAATATCTAATACCCTGTAGTAGGATACCAACAAGGTTGGCACCACCCCGCACAAGAAAGGCCTGGCGGGCAGGGCGGCCGACGAGACCCCAATCAAGAAGCAGAAGGTCAGTGGAACAGTGATTGAGACTGCTCAGGTTACTGCTCAGAGAGTGGCCACCATTCCAATGATCAGCATCAAATCAACACATCCATTGAGCCTCGTGGCCTCTGCTGGTGACATGCTTTCAGTGGCCAACGAGGGGTCGCAAGACGTGACTTGGGTGGCTGGGAATTTGGCGGCAGCGTTCGGTCAGGGCAAATTCGCCACCCGCGCCAGCCTGGGCGACTTCAATGTAGATCAAGAGCTGCTGTTCAACTTGGAGAAGAGCACCGACCTTGTCCTGTGCAACAACACCCTGATGACGGTTGGCGACGCGATCAAGGACCGCATTTCTAGCCACCCTACGTCCTGCAAGATATGCTACCACGACACAACGTGGGACACTGGTGAGACCACCTTCACCATCGAGCGCAAGCACAACGTGGTGTTCATCCCAGTGAACAGCCAGCAGCTGATGGAGGATGAGCAGAACAAGGCGAGCGCAGGGATCGCCCAACAAGCTGCAGCTGCGCGCCTGGTCAAACCCTCTCTATGGGACACTACCGACACCAAAGTTGTCTGGTGCGTCAGCTGGAAGGCTACGGGCCTCATGCCGTCTCGCCCTGTGGTTGTGTTCACCGGTAGTGGCTGCCTGTGCCCTGGCCGGAGCCTCAAGCTTGAGAAGCTGATCGCAGCCTAGAAGTGCAGGTTTCGCAGTAAGACCCCATTTTATAATGATAGGCTGCGTCGGGCAATACCATTGAGCAGCACAACGGAGAAGGCGAGGAGGAGGAGGAGCAGGAGGAAGGATGAGGAGGATGAGGAGGAGGAGTTGAAGGTGGAGGAGGAGGAGAGGGAGGGGGAGGAGGAGGAGGAGACGGAGGAGGAGGAGGAGCAGGATCAGGAGGAGGAGCATGAGGTGAGGAGGATGAGGAAGGAGGAGGAGGAATCGAGGAGCAGAAGCAGGAAGGAGCAGGAGCGGGAGGGGGGGGAGGGCGAGGAGGAGGAAGAGAACGACTAGAATGAAGAGATATGGCTGAGGAAAAGGATGAGGAAGAGCATGAGGAGGAGGAGGAGGAGGAGGAGGAGGAGGAGGGGGAGGAAATGGAAAGGAGGACGAGGAGGAACAGTAGGCTGAACAGGAGGAGCAGGGAGAAGGAGGAGAAGGAGGAGGAGAAGGGGGAGGAGCCTCCTCCTGCTCTCCTCGTGCTGCTGCTGCTGCTTCTCATCCCTCCTCCTCATCCGGCTGCTGCTCTGCTCATCATCCTGCCCCTCCTTACCCTCCCCTTCCTCTCCTCCTCCTCCTCCTCCCTCACCACGCCTTCCTCCTCCTCCTCACTCCTCCCCTTCCTCCTTCTCCTCCTGGCATGTGCCCCCCCCCCCCCCCGGCAAGACAAACGCCGACGCAACCTTGCTGCGCTGGGGCCAGCTGGCGAATTTCAAGGTGCGCCAAGCTGCTACAGACCAGAAGATATGTCCTCTCCCCCTCCCCTCTTCTTCGAAGGCACCTTCCACCTCCTGCTGTTTCCTACTCCTCCAACTCTTGACTCGATGCCTCGCCACTGGCGCAATGGGTTTGCTCTGGACTCGCTGCTCATGAGTGTCTCGCAAGAGCAGCTGCGCGTGCGAGGATGCAAGGCTCGATGCCTCGCCATTGGCGCAATGGGTTTGCTCTGGACTCGCTGATCATGAGTCTCGCAAGAGCAGCTGCGCGTGCGAGGATGCAAGGCTGGTAGGTCCTGGCCCTGAAGAGAGAGGCGTGGAAATCAAATGCGCCGAACGATGGCCCCAAGATGTCCCCAAGATGGCCCCCACATGGCCCCAATATGGCCCAAGATGGCCTCGATATGGCCCAAGCCGGCCTCATGATGGCTCCTCAGGGGAAGCTTGGAGGTGCAGCGCAGCTCTTACTCCTGAGCGATGTTGGAATGCAATTGGTTTTGCACAATTATGAACTGGAAGCCAAGTTAAACCCAAAACTACCCCAACATGGCCTAAGATGGCCCCAAGGTGGCCCCAAGATGGCCCCGAGATGGTTCGGGAGCTTGGTGGTGCAAAACGGCTCTTCCATTTGACTTTGGAAAACCATTGGTTCTACACCATTCTGGAAAGTCAGGGCCGACTTGGAAGCCACCGCGGTCCCAAGATTGCCCCGGCATGGCCCAGTATGGCCCAACATGGCCCAAGATGGCCTCAAATGGAATCCTCGACGAAGGGAACAGTGCCTCCTCCTGCTCCTCCTCCTCCTCCTCCTCCTCCTCCTCTTCCTCTTCCTCCTCCTCCCCCTCCTCCCTCTGCTCCTCCTCCTCCCTCTCCTTCTCCTCCACCTTTACCTCCTCCTCTTCCTCCTCCTGCTCCTCCACCTCCTCCTCTTCCTCCTCCTCCTGGTCCTCCTCCTCCTCCTCCTCCTCCCCCTCCTCCTCCTCTCCTCCACCAGAGCCTAGCACTGCTGCGACGCTTGGCAAGCTCAAGCACGAGTGGAGACCCCCTCCGCGTCGTCGTCGTTGTCGTTGTCGTCAGTCGAGGTCATCGTCGTCGGTGTCGTTGTCGTCTTCTTTGTCGTCGTCGTTGATCGTCGTCGTCGGCAGCGCCAGACCTGCAAAGCCTTATACGCCGGCGTAGCTTTTCTCTAGGGATTGGCCTGGTTCTGCGGCGGCGCAGGGCCGCGGCCAACGCGTTCTATGCGAGTGCAATCTGGAAGAGGAGCTGGCGAGGCTTGATACAGAGCGAGAAAAACAGATTGCTGCAGAACGGGCTGCAGAGGCCTCAAGACAGGCCTGTCAGCATGAATTTTGTCCTCATTGTCGTCGTCCTCCCCCTCATCCTCCTCCCCCTTCTACCCCTCCTTCGCCTACTCCTGCCAACGCACTGACAACGAGCCAGGCTCGTAGATCATCCGTGGTCTAGGGTGGCCACGTGGCCAGGAAGGTCTCGGGTACCCCTGATATCGAATTCCGCCTTCTCGGCCGCAAACGTTCCCCCCCCGTGTCCTTTCTTCCCCTCCTTTGAATTCCGAGGGAAGGGGGCATGAATGTAGAGCAGGGTGGGGGCGTTCAGTGGCCGTGGGGGACACTCCGAGGCATCCCGAGGGTAATCTATGATGATCTGGTCCACGCGATTCTCGGCGCAGAACACGTTGACATTCGCTGAAGCCCTGGCAGAGTCCATTTCTGCCTGGATGGCCTGCTGAGGAGGCCCAGAAGAACGAGTAGGAGGATGAAGGAAAACGCGGGGCAAGGGAGACAAGAGGGAGGGGGAGGTGGAGGACAAGGGGGAGGAGGATACCATCGGGTGTGAGATTTTTCCACAGGCCAACGACAGTTGGTGGAACTATTTGTTCCCGCCTGCTAGGCCTGTGATCACGGACGCAGAGTTGGAGGCCATGATTGGCTGAACAGCACGATTATAACCAATATTATAGTCATCATTGTCATCAACAACAAAAAGAAAAGTATGTGATGCCAAAAACAGCATAGCATAGCATGGCGTCAGCATATCTAGCACAGCATCAGCATACGGCATAGCATCAGCGACTACATAGCATAGCATCAGCATGGCATCATCATTGCATAGCATCGCAATGTGCAAGCGCCAGCGCGCATACGTCCACGAGGGCGGATAGTGGGGCAGTGGGTGATGGGGGAGGGGAGGAGGGGGAGCAGGAGTAGGAGGACGACGAAGAGGATGATGATATGATGGGGATGAAAACGGAGACGAGGATGGGGGAGCAGGGAGGAGGAGGAGGAGGAGGTGGAGGAGGACGAGGAGGACGAGGAGTAGGGCTCAAACCCAGAGGTCTTTTTTTTTTTTTTTTTTTTTTTTTCAGAAATTTCGAAATAGTTTCAGAAACTTTTTTTTTTTTCGAAAATAAAAGTGAAATTTCGTTTGTTGCAGATGTATCGCTTTAGCATCGCAATCGTCTTTCTAACACGGCCATGGCTTGTTAGCTTTAAATTTGGGGAATGACAATTGCAGCGGTGCGTTGGGCCAGGCGGATGCATCCATGGAGCCAGAGGCCTCTGAATGTAGCAGTGAGGCCATGCTCGAGAGGCGGGGATGTCGACGCGCCTCTCACGCGGATCGCGGGGTCAGGCGGATGCGGGCTTCCGAGTGTAGCAGCGAGGCCCTGAGAGGCCCTGGCCCGTGGGATTTCGACGCACCTCTCACGCGGATCGCGGGGTCAAGCGGATGGGGCCGAAAGTCTCCGTCAGCGTCGGCTTTCGGGATAGGCGGCTCACAATTCGAGGCCCGAGGCTCGAGGAAGTTGACTTCTAGAGGGGTGTGGGGGGGAACTGAGGGGGGCGAGGACGATGGTGATGAGGGGGAGGAGGAGGAGGATCAATTTCTTCCACCCCTCTCCCGCCTCCTCATCCCCCCCTCCCCCTGTGCCTGCTCTTCCTTCTCATCATCCTCATTTTCCTCCTCCTCCTCCTCCTCCTCCTCCTCCTCCGTCTCCCCATCCGCTTCCTCATCTTCCTCATTCCCGACCCTCCCCCCTTGCCTCTCTCACCCCTGCTCATTAATTGATGTTGCTATACATCCAACATCCCTCCCCCGTCCGTCCCCTCCTCCCCCATCATTCACATTCCCCTCCCGCTCTCCCCTCCTCCGCCGCCTTTTCTTTTTTTTTCTTCTTTTATTTTTCTTTTTCTTATTTTCTTTTTTTTCTTTTTTTTCTTTTTTTCTTTTTTCCTCCGCCCCTCCTCCCTCGTCTATCAGGTCTTATTTATACGGACGGTACGCGCGTTAGTTCTGGATCTGGGGGGGGGGGGGGGGGGGGGGGGGGGTGGGGGGGGGTGGGGTTGTTCGAAGGCATTTGTTTTTTTTTAGGGGGGGTCGGCCACGAGCGGGGCCGCGCCTGCTGGCAACCCCGCCGCGAATTGTGCCAGTGACGCCTACGTCGGGCAACCACGAACCTGCGCCTCTCGGCCTCGAGCTCGCGCCGTGTTAGGGAGACTCCGAATAGCAATGCCAGTGGAATATGCATCGGCACTGGGTCGGGGAGGGGCGGGGGCGGGCACGTCGAAGCTGCGATGGCGGCCGTGGGCGGTCGCCACCTCCACTTCGATATGCCCGAGCCAGTTTCATTCAACCACCCCGCGCCCCCGACCCAATCGCGATGCAGACTCAAATGGCACCGTTATTTGGAATCGCGCGCCACCTTTGCGGCCATCCGCCCCCTGCCCATTATGATGTTGCTTATGCTGATCCTGCCCCTGCGAGTTCTACTTCAGCCCCTTGCGGAACTCATCCAGGCGGGCCATATTATCTTCGCACGATTGGTTGGGCTCTTTCGGTTCGTCCGAGCTGGTTATGCGCTGCGGGGAGAAGTGGGCGCTGAGGATGCGGAGGAATGGACGAGGAGGAGGAAGAGGAGGAGGAGGAGGAGGAGGAGGAGGCGGGGGAGGGAGAGGAGGAGGGGGAGGAGGAGGCGGAGGAGGGGGAGGAGGAGGAGGAGGAGGAGGAGGAGGAGGAGGAGGAGGAGGAGTAGGAGGAGGAGGAGGAGGAGGAGGAGGGATCAGTCTCCGAGGAGTAGCATCGCGAAGGGTGGAGCGAATGCACCGCGCAGAACTCGAGCTGACATTGAAACGGAGCGGACGTCTAGGGCATGCCAGTCTTCGATGAGGGGATGTGGTGATCTGGCATGGCGCGAGTTCGGAATTCGGGTCAATCTATGTGGCGCGCTCGGCTCGGCGACCC